ATATGTATAAATAAAAACATTCCTCCAAACATTAAGTATGCATGAACAAATTAGAAACGGTTATATTACTGTCATCTTCATGCTTTCCTTAGTTTTAAATTTTCATTTAATTATTAGAGATTTAGTTCCAGAAAATGATAAAACATGGATACTATACTTAATTTTATTAGAAATAACCGAAATGTTATTTTTGTCTATCTTTAATGATGAATCCATTGATTTTTTAAAATGTCTTATTGAAGACCATCACCTAATGTGTTTAAAACTATTTAAAGAAAATTTAAAGCCTAAATTTAATTTTTTGCTTCACTACCCAAATATAATAAAGAAAATTGGACCTGTAATACATGTTAGCTCCATTAGATATGAAGTAAAACATAAAGATTTAAAATACTTAGCTACCCTTATTACATGTAGAAAAAATGTACATTTTTCACTTTGTATGCGGCCGCAGCTTAAATTGTCGTATAGAATTTTATTATAAAAGGACTAATAGACACGTTTGAACATGGACCAATTCAAAATGTAATCAAAGGAGACGTTATCCTTCCATCTAATTCAGAAATTTCATCTTCAAGTTTTTGCGTGCCATGGTTAAAAATTAATGGTATCTTTTACAAAATCAAGTATTGTGTTTTATTAGGTATCCTAATCCTTCTTTCGGTATAATAGAAAACATCATTATTAATGAAGACAACAATACAATAATTTGTTTTCATTGCTATTTATTAATTACCTTAAATTATGATTTGCATCATAGTGCTTATTCTGTGAAGATCTCTGAAAATTTTGTAACCGTAGACATTAAAACTTTAGGAACAGTTAAACCTACCGTATTTCACACCGTCTCGAAAAAATTATTTATATTTTTGTGAATGTTATTATATACATAATAGCTAAGCTAACATTAATTCTTAAAATTATTTCTTATATTTGTAATGTTTTGTGTATACGTTTATTTAAGCAAAATTACATTCCAATCAAACATACTCATACTTTTATTTTAACCTTACCCTATCTTTCCTAAAAAAGTTCCAAATTTTTATTCTAAAGAACTATTTTATTTAATTCAGGAAAGTTATAGTCTCATATCAAATAAAACCATTTATTTATATTTAAAAAACAATAATTTTCTTTCAAACATATATTTTGTTTTGTTAGAACAAATGTAATGTTATATTAATTTTATAGTATTTTTAAAATAAAATTACAAATTTTTTCTCTAAACCAATGAAAATTTTGAGTCAACAATATGTACTACATTATTTCAATACATAAATATTTTTCATGTGAAGCGTTTATTACTTAATTGAAATAAATATTTTAAAGAAATAATATTCTTTGTTCAAATACATGTTTGCATTGCGGATATGGGAAGATATTATTTGTTTAGTTTAAATTTTACTGCATTGAATTAAACAATTATTTTTATGTGTGTGTCAAATAAGTTGTCAAATTATTGTTGTCTGAATAGTTTTTGCCAAAAATTTAAATAAAAATGCCTGGGGATCGTTTAAATTATACTAATGAGGATTATTTTAATTTATTTATTTATAAAATGTGACAAAGTAATTTCAACATGTAGAGAATTTGCTGCTTTGCTCATTGACCACTTTTTTTCATCATCAGGTTTTTTTTAATTTCCAAGATGGATTAAAACTAAGAACAATTGCCGGGTGCTAATAGAGAAGACTTATATTCGCGCTATAAGGTTGAACTAACTGGACAAAATTAAGTATTATAGGAGCCAAGGCAGCAAGGCCAATTGTCATTTTAGATGAAACTTACATTCACTCTGACCATACCAATTCGAAGTGTTGAACAGACAATACCAGTAACGGTTTGGTATCAACGATATTTAAAGGCAATCGATTAGTTTTTGTTCATGCCGGTGGCGATATGGAGTTTATCCCTGTATGTTTTTTTAAATCTGAGACCAAATCCAGAGACTACCACGACGATATGAACTCGCAAAATTATGAGAAGTGGCTTACAGAGAAGTTAATTTCAAATCTCCTCCCGACTAGTGTTGTTGTAACTGATAATAGCTCTGTTCGCGGAGCCTGTCAAATTAGTCCGGGACCAGTCAGAAGCAGTCGTCCACCTACTTTCTGTGCTATTTCCTACAAGCATAACATACAAGAAGTAGCTAAACGATTGCTTCTGACTGATCCCGTACTAATTTGGCAGGCTCCGCGAACAGAGCTAATGTACCATATCATAATGGAGAAGTACAGAAAGCACCTATCTGCAACTCAAGAGAAACAGATATGGTAGACTGGTCAATAAGTAAAAATATACCTTTTTCGTCGAATTTGCTTAAGCCACAGGTGTATGAAATTATTAAGCACAATAAAGAAAAACAACACATGTTTCGATGGTCTACTCCAAGGAAACGGGCCTGTACCTTGGAGGCTCCCACCTTACTATCCTGATTTAGTCCGATTGAAATGATATAGACTCAAGTTAAAATCCAATGTAGCAAAGTAAAATGTTTTATTTAAATTAGAGATTGTGATGTGGCAGTAGAAGATGATTTCAAAAACTAGTTACTGAAATACATGTTTCTTTGTTTATTACTTTTTTCTTTGTACCAGCGTGTTTATAATTGTATTACTGTGTACTTATAACTTTTTGTACTCTACTGCACTGTAAAAGAAATAAAAACACATTTCAATCCAAAAAAATCTACTTTATAGACAAGTTGTTACAAAATTCGCGGACACGGACTGTGGGATCATATTAAGCTAGATAAGGTGATAAAAAGTGTCTTTATGATTTTTCAATCAGACCAGTATTTTTCGAGATATAGCAGTATCAAATATCCAAAAATAATAAAAATACTTTTATTTATAAATTTCACTTTTCAATCATTAGATAAACAATTACTACAAACGAGTTACAACAATTGTTCAAAATTTCCATCGTCTGCTGTTAAACATGCTTCAGCACATTGTGCTACTGCTCGAATGGAGTTGTGTATCATCTCTGGTGTTATTTGCTGTATTGATTGAAACAGGCGGTTCTGCAATTCATTCAAATTTGCCATTGGTGTTGTGTACACCAACGTTTTTATGAAGCCCCAAAAGAAAAAATCACATGGCGTTAGGTCTGGAGAAGGAGGTGGTCAAACAAATGGACCGCCTCTGCCAAGCCAACGTCCAGGGAAAGTATTATTTAGGTAATCACAACGTGCTGAAGCATATTTAGCGGCAGACGGTGGAAATTTTGAATAATTCGGTTGTCATCATTGTTTAGCCAATGATTAAAAATTGAAATTTTTTATTATTTTTGGATATTTAAAAATATCGGTCTGATTGAAAAATGATAGAGAAATTTTTTATTACCGTATCTAGCTTAACATGATCCCACAGTTCTTGTCCGCGAATTTCGTAACACCCTGTATAGCTATTTCCCTTATATTCAGGGTGATTCAGAACTTATCCAAAAAAAAAAATTGTGGATGTACAGGAGACCCTTACAAATACAATTTTGTAAAGAAAAAATCAAAAAGGGCAGTTCGAATATGATTTAAAAATACACTTCTGTACGGCACTGGAAACTGATCCAGTGTAAAACCTGACCTCGCACAATGCGATCGGCATGGCGGTGTGATAAAAAAAAATATGTAAATAGAATTTTATCGCACCTATTTTATATCGGCAAATTCAAATGCTTTTGCCTTTATTAATTATAAATAAAATTAATTTGTGTT